GATGTGGCGGGAGATAGGGTGAGGGGGTGGGCGGGCTGCTCCTGTGAACTTGGCAGCTGGCCAGAGTTGGGGTGCTTGGAAGGGAACAGGGGGTAGGAGGTGCACATTTCCTGGGTTTGCTCTGAGCTGGGGACCCTCCCGGGCCCTCCCCAACATCGTGCGGTCTCAGGGGAAGCCATGTCCCACTTCACAGGGGAGGACGACCACGAGCCTCGCAGTGACCGCTTGTCTGGGGACCATGCGCTCAGCGACCTCCCACACCCCACTCGCTCCCCCGTCAGCCCCTGAGTTCCCACTGCTCAGCCAACCAGCACCGATGCTGGGAGCAAAGTGACCCAGGAGGGAGGGAGGGTCAGGGCTGGCCTGATCAGAGGTGGGAGGGCACGGGAGCCTGGCGGGGTCAAGGTGGACGCCCTGCTTCCTGCGGGCACCTGCTCTCCCCACATTCACACAGACCCCAGCTGGGTCTCAGGGGTTCCGGCACCTCCTCCCTGCTGGACACCCCATATTCCTGGGCCCTCTGCCCCATAAATAGAGGCAGGAAAGTTTCAAACAAGGAGCCTCACCTGGGGCCTTGGTGACCATGACTTGAAGAAGGACAGAGGATGTCCCCATTGGATGGACCTGCATCCCCTGTGTGTGTGGCCTTGGGCGGGTCACCTGACCTGTCGGGGCTAGGATGGGGTGTGCGATGCACAGCCAGGGCCGAACACCAGGTGTATCCACCTCCTTAGCTTAAAACAGACACCTCCTTTAACAGCTCAGGTCACGGCAGACACACACCCAGATGCACGCAGCCTGAGACACGCAGACACGGACGCTGAGACCCGTATGCACAGCCTCACATGCGAGACACAGAGATACACAGAGACAGGGAGACCCCAGACACACAGATATATGGAGAGACACAAATGGACACACACTTGTGGGGCTCACACACGCACCCATGGGCTCACACATACATAGGGCTTACACACACACACACACACACGCACTCCAGTGCAGCTCTGGGAGCTGGTTTCCCACACCCGGGGCACCCCCATCCAGCCCAGGCACCCTAAGTTGATGGCTGCCTGGTGGCCTTGGGTGAGCCTCCTGGTCTCCAGGCTCCCGGGCAAGAAAGAAGCCTGAGAGGCCTGTCAACTGCACTGGGTATCCCTGGGGTGTGAGGGTGTGGGCAGCTCCTGGGTTCCTTGGGGCAACCCCTCACCTCTGGGCGCAGGCCAAGGAGCCGCCATTTGGTGTGTGCGAGGGGCGGGTGGCCCAGGGGACGCAGAGCTGCTGGGGAGACTCTGGCCTCGTCCTTAGGCTCCTGGGCTCACAGCAGGGGCGAGGCCCCCCAGAGACAGTGAGGCCCCACCTCTCGGGGCCCTGTCTGTAGAAAGGGGCCCGGGGTCACAGTACAGCTGGGCCCGGGGCTGGCCAACGCCACCATCACGGATTCCTCCTCAGCCAGGATGCCAGGGCCGCCCGAAGGGCCCTGCCCCCAGGCTGGGGATGCAGAAGCTCTGCCACGGCTGCATCACCCCCCTCTGCCCCCCAAAAGCTGAACCAGCGGAGCTGGGCCCAAGGACTGGGAGTGGGGAGGGGAGACAAGCCCTGGCATTGACCCTGGGACCCTCCACACCCCACCTGGGAGGCCGGGATCCTGCATGAAAGGCTCCAGGACTCCCCACCTCCCACCCGGCCGCACCGCCTTGAGGTCCATGGAGCCTTCTGCAGGGCAGGCCTGGGGCCTGGGCATGGCCAGCTGGAGGCTGCCTGTGGGACAGCCGAGAGTGGGAGGCTCCGGGCCTCCTCTGGCCCCATCCTCTGCCGTGACCCTCAGGCCCCCCGCCCTGGGCGTGACCACTCGGCCTGGCTGGCTGGGGCTAGCCCATCAGCAGAGGCTGCCTAAGGTGGGCAACACCAGGAGGGTGACCATGGTTTCCTCCAGTGGGAAGAAAGTGTGGGAGAGCCATGTTCTGGGAGAGATGAGTGTTTTTAAAGCCCTAGACCATCTGTCCCCATCCCAACCCTGATTCAGAGAAATGTCCCTCCTCTGCAAGTCTCCTGTCGCCCGCCAGAAATACCCCAGTGTCTGCCCCCTCCCCCGGCTGGGGTTATTTTTGGACGTCCAGGCAGAGATGCCCAAGGCTGTCTGGAGGAGCCCAGGGTGAAGTCTGGGCAGAGGTGCATTTAGGGGTTCGAGACCCCCCTTTGGGTCACATACTTATCAGGAAGCCGCCAGAAGATGTGGGATTCTCTCCTCAGAGGGGAGCAAGTGTCCACGCAGAGGGGGTGCAACGCAGAACGAACCCCTGGCTTGAGGCCCCTCTCGCCCCTCCCTGAGGTCACCTCCAGGTGGCCATCCCCTCTCGTGATCAGCCAGGGAACCCCACACACACTATGCTTGTGGGGTCTGCCTGGCTGGACCTACTAGGGTAGCGGACACCATACCTACTCGGCCAAGACAACCAGGAGGGGCTGAGCCCCATCCAGAACCTTCCCAGCAGGGCAACTAGTTGTGGCCCTCTGCCCACCCATGCTGGCTGCCACTGAGGCCCAGCAGGGCCGCCAGGCAACCCCATAGCCAGCCTCCAGTCCCAGCACCCAGAGCGCAGAGGAAGAAAACCTCCCTTCTGACCATAGCTGGGCCAAGCTTCTCATCTCCACACCAGCAGACAAGGCTCCTGAGGCCACTCCCCACCCCAGCCTCCCCACCCCACCCTGAGGGTCCCCCATCTCCAGCCTCCAGACCCCTGGGGCCGAGGGCACCGGAGGTGACTTCCGGGGAGGTGTTAGAGCAGCTCGAACCTGAGGGATCAGGGGGGACTTGGGTGAGTGTGCAGGCTGGAAGTTTCCTGCCCGGAGTGAGATTGTAGACCCACCTCACCTTGTCCAGGTTTACAGATGAGGGGGCGGGCTGGGAAAGGGCCATCAATGCCCGAGGTCCTGAGGGAGGGAACGGCAGGGCAGAGGGGACCAGAGAGACCTAGTGCAGCAGCAGGAAACAGCCTGACGCCATACTCATCTTTGGGCATTTCTCCACCGCGGGACTTTTCTTGCCAAAACTGCCCCTTCCGGGTGAGTCCAGACCTCCCGGCTCGTCCCACTGCGGGTCTGCCGGCATCGCACCACCAGACGCGGGCCCACCGCCCGGAGAGGTGGGGGGGGAAGCACCGAGTGATCGCTGCCGCCCCACCCGCTGCCTGACCCTCGCCAAGCCTCAATGCCCCATCTGTGAAATAGGGACCGTGATGCCCGCCTCCCTACTCCCATCCCAGGGGTCATTGGATGCCCCAGACCACCCGCGCCTCTCGCCCTGACCCCTCCTCCAGGAGGCTGGGCTTGCGTCGCCTCGAGTCCCTCCCCCTCCGGACCTCCGGACCCTCCGAGGGTTGGGGAGGCACCGCCCACCCTGCCTGCGGCGGACCCGCAGTTCTGAGAGCTGCGCCGGGGCGCCACCGTGTGGCTCTTCTGGGAACTGCACTGCCCGGCCTCCTCCGGACGTAACAGCAATAAAGGTGCCGCCGCCAGTTACAGTTTACAGCTGCTGAGCGAGCGCTGACGCTGAAAGGCTCTGTGCTAAGCACCATCCACGTAGAACGTTCTTAATTCTCCCACAAAACTTCGGATGCGGGTCCTGTTATTTGTCCTCCCTTACAAATGGGGAAACTGGGGGCGAAGCCCCGTAACCAGTGACAGATGGGGTAGGATTTGACCCCAGGAGGTCTGGCTGCAGGACCTTGGTTTTAATCCCATCCATCTTGCCTGGGCCCCGGGGGGTTGGTACCAGCCCTGTGCACACTGAGGTCTCCTGGGGGGGGGGCTTAAAAGGAAAGGTTTCCAGGCCCCAGCCCAGCTGACCCGATCCAGCTGGCCCAGACACACCCTTCTCAGAGCCACAGGAGGTTCTGGCCTCCCCACCCCACCCCCAAGGCAGGGAGATGGAAACAGAGAGGGTGGAGTGTAGCTTGATAAGGGCCCAGCCGAGCGCTCAGGTCAGTCCGGGGTTGCGGGAGTGGGAGGACCCTCACTCGGCAAGGAGCCTGCAGCTACAGAGGCGTCCCAGAAGCCAGACGCCCTGCCCGGAGGCACAGGTGCGGACCGCTCTCGTGGGACCCCATGTCCAGCCTGGGCTGGGAACGCAGCCCCATCCTAGGGCAGAACACCCACCTGTGCTGAGCATGCCACTTCCTCCCCTGAGCCTCAGTTTCCCCGTCTGCTAACTGGGAAGACCCCTCGGAGCTGTCGTTCAAGACTGCAGCAGGGGCTGAGGAGCTGACGTACAGCAGGGGCCAGTCCGGATCTGTGCCCTCTCAGGTATGGTGGGGGGACCTGTCCGGCACACGTACCCCGGGCAGTGGGCCAGCTGTTCCTGCATGACGATGAACTCCCAAGTGCTGAAGGAGAAACAAGCCCTTTCCCTTGGACAGGCCCAGAAGACATGGCAGGTCCAGTACTTCCTGCCCCTTGGCCACCCCTCAGCCTCGAGGAGGAAGGGACGGCTTCCTCACCCACCCACCGCCGCGAGGGTTACAGTCTCAGCCCCTGGGCCCGAGCAGCCTCCTCTGCCCAGGTCAGGAGGGGCAGCCCTGTGCCAGCAGGTGCACAGGTGCAGTGGGTGTGAGGCCAGGCGTCCACACTCAGCTCCACCAAGCTGCCCTCAAGAGAGATCCTGGGGGCTCCATCCTATGTGAGGCCCTCTGGAGTGTCAGTGGCCTTGTTGGGAGCAGACTAGACCACACAGGCCCCAGGGCCCCCGACCCTCTCAAATCAAGCTCTCAAAACTGCCCACAGTCCCGGCCTCACCCCCCAGGAGCATGGCCTTGCACATAACATGGGGCCCTCCTGGGAACCTGGGCCGTCTTCTGCCAACGTGGCATTGTCTGGGCATCTCCAGGGGCAGCTTCCAGAGCTGCATCAGCCCTTAGGGAGATCAGCCTCAACAAGGCACCCATTTTACAGATGAGAAAATGGAGGCCAGAGCGCCCTGGCCTGGTCTGGCAGTTCATTCATGCAGTCAACACATTTATTTATTGAGCATCGACTCTGTGCCAGGTCCTGGGTGGGCACAGGGGGCTCAGAGGTGAATCACACGCAGACTCTGCCCTTGAGGCACTCACAGCCTGGCAGGGCAGTTGGTCACATCGAAGGACACTCATGATACAGTGTGGTCAGTGTGGTGCTAGAGGTAGCACAGGTGGCCAAGGGAGCACAGAGGAGGAGCCCCTGGCCCAGCCGGGGAGTGGCAAGGGGGGCTTCCTGGAGGAGGTGACATCTGAAGAGGGCTTTAGGGAGTGAGCAAGAGTTAGGATGTCTGGCAGAGGGCGTGGTCTGTGCAAAGAGGTTGGGGGAGACAACAGCACATCTGGGCGGCAGCTGGGAGATGGCAGGCTCTGGTCCAGGAAGGGCAGCGGAGTTAGCAGGGGACGGAGAGCTCTCAGGGCTGTGAAGCAGGTGGCGGTGCGCAGAGGGCCCGCTGGGAGCCAGTGTGGAGGGCGTTCCCGGGGAAGAGGGCAGGGGAACAGCGTGGGCGCGGCCCTGGCGGAGGAGTCCGGTCCTGCACGGGTCCCCTCAGCAGGGCGGGGGCGGGGGCGCGGGCTGCCAGCCCCGAGGCTGCAGGGTGCACAGCACGGGGTCCAGCGGCTTGAGCGTGGCCTGCTCCAGCAGCCTGAATCGCTGCCCGGGCACCAGCCGGAACTCCAGCCTCTGCAGCAGCTTGGCCATGACCACCTTCACCTCCATCTGTGCGCGCGGGGGTGGGGTGGGGGTGGGGGTCAGCGGTGTGAATGAGGGAATGAACAGCAAATGCCACAGCTGCCTGGGTCCCCAGCCCCCAGCCCCCAGCCCAGGGACCCAGAGCAGGGCTCTGAAATGCTTCCTGGACAAGATGTCACCCCGCAGTCACTTCTGGGCAGAAACCCCAGCGCTGGCCCCCTACCTGAGCAAACTGTTGCCCAATGCAGGAGCGGGGTCCCAGGGAGAATGGGAAGTAGGTGAACTTCGGCCTGCGTGCGGGGAGAGAGGCGTCAGGAGGCAGCCCCGTGACAGTCGTGACAAAGCCAACCTTGTGATGACCGGCTTTGGGCCAGGGCTGGTTTTCGAACATGCTAAAGACATCAACAGCTTACTCGGCTAAGCTCTGGGTCAGCATTGTCTCATTTTATCCTCCTTTGAGCCTTCCGGAAGGAGCTGTTATTATTCCCATTTCACAGATGGAGGAACTGAGGCTCAGAGAGGCAAAGCAACACTCCCAAGGCCCTACATCACTTACTCCACTTATTCAGCCGGTCGCATGCCCAGCTCTGGGCGGTCTGGGTCTGGACTCAGGCATCTGTCCCCTGAGCCTGGCTCTCCTCCCCACCACTGCTTCAGTACTTGAAACCATTCACCCCCACAGCCACCTCTAGAGGGAGCCGTCGGTATTCCCATTTCTCAGATAGGAGCATCAATGTGTGGGGGGGGCAGGGATGCCGTCACTTGCCCAAGTCACAGGCCTTCCCAGTATAAGGGACTGGTTATGAGCACAGACTTTAAAACCAGTCTGAGCTGGGCTCAAACCTTGGTTCTGCCCCTTCCTGGCTGTTCGTCTTTGTGCAAGTTACCTAGCCTCTCTGAGCCGTGATTTCCTCCTTGTAAATGTGGGTAGAGTGGGGTTCATAACTCCCTCGCAGTGATCTGGAAGGCTATGTGGGCTCAGTGAGCACAGGCAGCTCAGACCAGAGGCCTCTGGGACCAACCTCCCACCAGGTCTCCACTTGTGGACAGCTTGAAGAGAGACTTACTTGGGTGCTTTGGGGCTGAAGCGATCTGGGTTGAAAGTCAGCGGGTCCTCAAAGTATGTGTCCATCCGCCCCATGACATAGGTGCTGAACTGCCGGGCAGAGGATCTGCTTGTCTCTGGCTCCGAGGATGGGTCCCCTCGAACCTCCCCAACCTGCTGCAGTCACCCAGTGGGGAGACTCGGAGCAGAGTACCCTCTCCCGCACTCCCCACCCCTGCTCTACTCCACCCGCCCATCTCCCCACCCACACATCTCCCCACCCATCTCTCCACCTGGCCATCTCTCCACCTGCCCATCTGGACCAGTGCGGAATTCCACTGGCCCCTGAAAAGTCTCTAAGAGGAAGAAAGGGGGCAGCCCAATATGCTGCCAACCAGCTGGGCATGCTACCTCATCCCATGCTTGACCTCACCCTATGGGGGGAGCTACAATTATCCCCATTTTACAGATGAGGAAACTGAGGCTCAGAGGTTCATGACTTGCCTGAAGTCACCTGGCAAGTAAGCGGCCAAAATGAGATGCAAACTCAGGTCTGCTGCGAGGCCATCTTTCTCTAGATTCCCGGGAGCTGTTATTATTCAAAGTTTCTCTTCAGCACAAGGCTTGCTTCAGCGGGGTGGAGGTGGGGGAGCCACAGAGCCCCCACTAGCCTTTCACCTGCACACCTGGTGCCTCCTGATTGAAGTTGATGCTCCATGCCCCGGCCCCCAGGGGCCATTCATACCCCATAACTTGGGCCCTGGGTGCTGACCTTTGCACAAAGTGTCTCCCCAAGCCCGTGCTGCCCCTGGTTCTCTGTGTGAGAGTCTAGGGCATCCAGGGCTGGAGGGGGGGCCTGGAGCTGAGTGGGAGCATAAGACCAGGAGGGGTCTAAGGTCAGCAAAGGGCACCTACTATGTGCCAGGGGTTTTTGCCAGACACGTGATGTACATTATCTTGTATTATCCTGTTGACTCAGGTACCATTATCCCATCTTACAAGGATGGTACTGAGGCCTGGAGGTTCAGGGTCTTCCCTGAGATGACCCAGCCAGCAGGGAGCAGGGCCGGGATTAGAGCCTGGGTCTGCCCACTCAAGGTCCATGGAGTTGCACACGTGGGTTGAGAGTCAGCCCCAGGGCCTCGCCCTGCCAGATGTAAGGGCATTCTGAAGAGATGGTCGTTAAGGCAGGTGGTATTATTGGTGCAGGATGTTTTTAAAAAAAATAAAAAGTACAGATACAGAATTCCCTGGCGGTCCAGTGGTTAGGACTCCACGCTCTCACTGCCGAGGACCCAGGTTCGATCCCTGGTCTTGGAACTAAAATCCATGGTGTGGCCAAAAAAAGGAAAAAAAAAAAAAAAGAAGCACACATGGATGAAGGTTTGGTACGTGCTGGAGAGGGCTTGGCAGAGCCCTGGGGACGGGAGACTCAACAGGTGGGACTGGAGCACGTCTTTCTCCTATGTAAAAATAAACATAGGTTCTGTCTGGGGCTGAACTGCATCCCCCTAAAATTCATAAGTTGAAGTCCTAACTTCAGAATGTGACTGTATTTGGAGACAGGCTCTTTAAAGAGGTAATTAAGTTAAAATGAGGTCATCGGGGCCCCTAATCCAGTATGACTGGTGTTCTTATAAGAAGAGGAGATTAGGACACAGACACACACAGAGAAGAGGCCAGGTAAGATGGAGGGAGAAGATAGCTGTCTGCAAGCCAAGGAGGGAGGCCTCAGAAGAAACCAACATGCTGACACCTAAATCTTGAACTTCTGGCCTCCAGGACCATGGGAAAATAAATTTCTGCTCTTTAAGCTACTGTGTCCGCGATGCTTTGCGATAGTAGCCTCAGCAAACACAGACCCTTACCTCACACCATACGCAAAATCATTTTCAGATAGATAGGAGCTTAACTTTCAAAAGTGTAAAATCGGTAGAAGACAATGTAAGTGAATACTCTTCTGACTTCAAAGCAGGGAAGAATTTCTTAAACGAGACAAAACAAGATAACTAACCACTAAAAAATTTAAGAACGTCAGATCATTAAAAACAAAGACAAACCGCTATCTAGAGATGATATTTGCAACACATCTACCTGATAAAAGATTAACATGTGAATTTGTGAAGACAACTCTACATAATAATAAGAAAAGACAAACGACCCAAGAGAGGGAAATGAACAAACACCTCACAGAAGAGGAAAAACAGTGTAGGGCTGCCCAACCTCACCAGTAGTCGGGAAAGTGCACATCAAGACCACAGCAAAATACTTTCCTTAAACTTATTGAACTGGCAAAAAATAAGCAATTGGCCCCTACTAAGTGGTGAGGCAGATAAGGAACAGACTCTCTCTTACACCGCAAGGGAGTGTCTGAACTGGCAAAGCCACTTTGGAAAATAATTTGTCCCTAGTTTATAAAGTTGATCAGTCATCTGTCCTACAACCCAGCCCTCCCACTCCTGGGCACACACCCAAAAAACACATTTGCACGTTGCATCAGGACACAAGGACAGGAAAGCTGACAGCAGCAGCTGTGCTCATAATGGCAACAAACTGGGACCCTCTCAAATGCCCGCTGACCCCGGAATCAATGTGCAATAGTGCAACTCACATGGCAGAATATTACACAGCAGTGAAAATGGATGGCCTACAGCCACACATGGAAATCTACACTATCTTAATAGACATTGGACTGAGTCACAAAGCAAGTCCTAGGACATATTCTTGTGTGGGCGTGCGCACACACGAAGGCGAGGGAATGGCAAGCACAAAATTCAGGAGAGTGACAGCTTTTGGGGGGAATCAGGAGAATGATGCCTACATAGGTGGTTACATTCTAGTTTTGGGGGCAGGTGGTGGGTTTGGGGAGGTCATTGTGCATGAATGGAGCCTGAATGAATGAGGAAACAGCCAAAGGGACAAAATGTAAAGGAGAACGGGGTGGGGGAGGGGGGAGAAAGTCAACCTCAGTGGGAGGAGGGGCCGTGGAGAGAGAAGGAACTGGGGCAAATTTGGGCCAGCTCTGAAACTGGGCACATCCCATTCTGCTCCTTGCTGGCTTTGTGACCTCAGGAAAGTAACTTAACTTCTCTGAGCCTCAGCAGCCTCAGCTGTAAATGAGGCACCTCCCTTTTAGAATCATCCTCTGTAATCTTACACTGGACAGGGGGGTGGGGAGAGAAAATCCATCACAGGGTTACGGTAGGACTCAAACAAGAATGCACGGGGAGGTCAGGGAGGATAACGGGGCCACGGACTTCAGAGGAGTCCCTGACCTCAGCGGACAGCCCCGAATTGACCAGCTGGGGGCAGGCAGGCAGGGCCCCCACGCACCAGGAGCGGGGTGTTGCCGGGGACTCGGATCCCATCGATCAAGGTCTCCTCCTCCAACAGACGAAAGGTGCCCCACGCTGGCGGGTACAGCCTCAGCGACTCTTTGAGGACCTGCAGACACCACACGGGGAGATAACGAGAGACATCAGGAGACCCCATGGAAAGTGCCAGAAGCATGTCCCGAACCTCTGCTCCATTTCACGGTGCTGAATGTGCACCCACGGCCGAACTGGGTCCCTGACCCCTGCAAGGTTAGCGTCTTCTGCGTGTCCAACCCCTCATGTGACAGAAGGAGAAACCAAGGCCCAGAGGAGGGGTTGTGCAAAGCCACAGTGCCAGAGACCAGACCAGACCAGAGACCAGAGCCAGGCCTCCCTCTAAACCAGGGCTCCCACCATCCCGAGGACTCTGGCAGCTCGAGGAAGGCCTCCTCCTGTGCTGTGCTGGGGGTTGGAGGGGGGCTCTGCTGAGCCTGGCCCCCAGCTGGGAAGCCTAACGCTTGTGGAACCCAGGCCTAACTGGGTTTTACTAACTGGGCTGGTTTCCATACTGGAATCACCTGGGAAACCGTAGCCATACTGGGTCCCGCCCCCAGCGACTCAGTATCATTGGTCTGGAGCAGCCTGGACATGGGCAGTTTTTTAACCTCCCAGGGGATTCTCAGGTGCAGCGACGTTCAAGAACCCCTGTACTAAAGGGTTCAAGGAGGCAGCAGGCTGGTCGATGAATCGCCCACCTCTGCCCAGAAGCTTCTCCCCCATCCCCACACCTGGGACAGGTACTGCAGTCTCCCCAGGTCCTCGCAGTCAAGGTGCCTCTTGGAACCGATGACCTCGTCCACCTCGGCCTGCAGCCTGTCAGTCAGACAAAGACAAGTTCGTCTCCAAGGAGAGATGCCCCACGTTAGTTTTAAGAAGGGCGGGCTGGGAGGAAGCGTGAAGAGAGAGGCCTGGGGCTTCCCTGCTGCACACACTGCTCCCCAGCCCCCGTTCTTGAAAGAACCTCCCAGTCCAAACGCAGACGCCCGGGCAGCTGGGAACTACGTTCCAGGCCCTTAAAACATTCACCCGCTGTGTGTGCTGCTCGGAATCGGCTGTGGGAAACAAACCACCACAGAACAAGGTCTTTGCAAAAAGATGCCTATTTCAGCCCGGTTCACAGCAGCTGGAAACAGCAGAAGGAGCGATGCAGGGATGCAGGTACAAGCCTTAGGATGTGCACCGTTAGAATAATATGCAGCCGTACAGGTGGACCTGGACCACTTCCCACCCATGATGGGGTCTTTTCTCAAAAGACAGAAAATAACAAGGCTGGTGAGGGTGTGGAGAAATCAGAGCCCTTGTGCACGGCGGGCGGGGCTGTAAAGTGGTACAGCTGCCGTAGAAAATGGTATGGAGGCTCCTCAAAAGGTTAAACACGGGGCTTCCCTGGTGGCGCAGTGGTTGAGAGTCTGCCTGCCGATGCAGGGGACACGGGTTCGTGCCCCGGTCAGGGAAGATCCCACATGCCGCGGAGCGGCTGGGCCCGTGAGCCATGGCCGCTGAGCCTGCGCGTCTGGAGCCTGTGCTCCGCAGCGGGAGAGGCCACAGCAGTGAGAGGCCCGCGTACCGCAAAAAAAAAAAGTTAAACACAGAACTGCCATGTGATGCAGCAATCCCACTTCTGGGTAGACGGGTCTCAAATAGACACTTACACACCGACGTCCACAGCAGCACTATTCACAATAGCCAAAAAGTGGAAGCAACCCAAGTGTCCACTGATGGACGAATGGATAAACAAGATGCGGTCCGTACATACAAGGGAATATCACTCAGACTCAAAATGGAAGGGCATCCTGCCACTTGCTGCCACACGGATGAACCTTGAGGACATTACGCTGAGTGAAACAAGCCAAACAGAAAGGACAAATACACTATGATTCCGCTCATATGAGGTCCCGGGAGGAGTCAGATTTCTGGAGACAGGAAGTTGAATGGTGGTTGCCAGGGGCTGGAGGGAGACAGGGAGTGAGGAGTTAGTGTTTAACGGGGACAATTTCCGTTTGGGATGCTGAAATGTTCTGGGGATGGATGGTGGTGATGGATCCACAACAGTGTGAATGTACTTAATGCCACTGAACCATACACTTGAAAATGGTTTAAATGGTAAATTTTATTATATATATGATATTATATATGATATATATATGATATACATATATACACATAGACACAATATTCAAAAAAAAGAACTTGGGAAGAGGTTGCAAAACTGTGGGGCAATGTTGTGATAATACACATGGCAAAATTCAGTAATTAATCATGACCTGTCACTGGGTGGATGGGGCACCGCAGGTGGATTTATCATTATAATCATTATTTTAACTTTTCTGCTTTTTTCAAAATTTTTAATAAATACTATTACGTATTTTTAAACACCAATAAGCTACAGTTGACCCTTGCACAACGCAGGAGTTAGGGGCACCGACCCTCCGCACAGTCAAAAATCTGAGTATCACTTTACAGTTGGCCCTCCGTGTCCGTGGCTCCACATCCACGGATTCAACCAACTATGGATTGTGTGGTGCTGTAGCAGGTATTTAGTGGAAAATATCCATGTGTAAGTGGACCCGCACGGTTCAAACCCTTGTCGTTCAAGGGTCAACGGTGTTATATTCTCAGGCAATCGTTCAGTCTGCCCTTTCCTGCTGGTGATGACAACCTTTGCTCTGATGGACCCTTCCCCATGTCCACGGAGGTCCCACCCCCAAGCCTGTCGGCGGCATTTGCAGAGCGCTCTTACATTTAGCTCAGCCCATCTGTGCAACAGTCCTTGAGGGACACTGTTTGTATTTAAGGAAACCAATGGCCCAGCTCAAATGCCATCTCCCCAGCGATGCCCTCCTTTGTCTTGCCAGGTGCAGACAAGCGCTCCCTCAGCACTTTGCTTGGAATTCTGTTCAGTCCTCAGTGCCAGCCCCTGGCCAGGCCCTGAGTACATCTTGGGAGGGAAAGAGCCACGTCCCTGCCCTCTTGGAGCTTCTGGTTTCATGACTGAAATAGACTCAAAGCAAACAGTCCCAGGAGAAAAGGCATCTGTGAGCTGGGAGGAGGCTAGGAGGGGAAACAGTGTGGTGAGCTGGGAGGAGGCTAGGAGGGGAAACAGAGTGGTGAGCTGGCAGGAGGCTAGGAGGGGAAACAGAGTGGATGCTTCAGGGGTCTAAGAAGGCCTCTGAGGAGGGGGAAGAGGAAGGCGGAGGAGGACGAGGGGGAATTCTCCAGGAGAAAAGCAGGAAGAGGAGCTTCTAGAAGTAGGAGCAGCATGTGCAAAGACCCTGGGGTGAAGGGAGGCAGGACACATTGGAGGGGGCCCAGCCGTGGGATATGGGAGCAGGTGGTCCCCTAGGAACAAGACATCAGATAAACCCCTTCACCAACGTCAAGGGGAGCCCCCCATCTCCCCTCCTCGTACCTCGCCAAGATCTCCGGCTGGCGCGACAGCTCCATCACCGTGAATGCCAGGTGATTGGCAGAGGTCTCGTGACCTGCAGGAAAGGAGGAGAGCGGAGGCTCCACGAGGCCTACGGGGCTGCCGCTGGCCCAGCCTGCCTGGCCTCTGAGACCCCAAGCCTCTGGTGGTAGTTCAAGCCCTCACTTCTCCCCCTTGGCTGAGCCAGACGTACAGATACGAGGGAGACACCTGTCCACCTCCGCGTTCCTGGTGCCGCCTATGTTGTCAAAGAAATGGCCTTCACCCCACGCATCCGTGTCTCACACCCTAAAAGCCCCTTGCTCCAACCCTCCTTGTGCCTTGCCTGGCCTGGAGGGATATTCGTCCCCATTTTGCAGAAGAGCAAGCTGAGGCTGAGAGGAATGTGTCCCTCTTCGGTCACACAGCAGGAGGAACAGAGCTAGGACTCAAGTCAAGCACAGCTTTCAAGCCCAAAGCCCATGAAGCTGCGGGCACCAGCCCCTGAGGTCTGGAGAGGGTGCATCTCCTGTCACGGGGACCGACTTCCCAGGTGGAGAGGGCTGATTCTGGGTTCCGGCAGGATCTGGTCAAGTTGATAGCATCAACCCCACCCCCACCCCGGTTGGCCAGGGAGGGAGCCGAGTTGCACCACTTTCCTCTAAAGGGGTAGGGAGCTTAACAGGTGGCAACCACTGCCAGCCAGGGGGCCCCAGGGGCTGCTCGAATGCAAGAGGAGGGCCTACCTTCCAGCAAGTAGGTGCTGGGAAGGAGGTCCTGCTGCTCCCAGGGCTGGAATGTGGGCAAGTCACGGCCAGGGGACCCCATAGGGGAGGCTGGGCCGGGGAATCAGAAGTGACCGGAAGTCCAAGCCTGGCCCTGGCTCTGCATTGCCAGCAGTGACTCAGTTTCCTCAAAGGACAATGGGAGGAGAGACACAGCTGTCCTCTCCCCGGCCCCTTGCGGTAGGGGCACAGGGCTCATGGTGGGCTGCGAGGAGGATGTGAGGGAAGTTATTAAACCCCAGCTGGAAGGCTGGATGGACATCCCCATTTTACAGATGAGGAAACTGAGGCCCAGGCTACAGAGCCGGCCTATGGAAGAACCACATCCCGGACTCGGCCCCCTGGCTCACAGCATGAAGACCAGCCAGCCTTCATTCAGCAAGCACTTTATCACGCACAGAGGACGGTGCCCTGGAGTCCTGCTCCAGCCCTACTGCTCCAGGTCTCCCGGGCTGTCTGTGAATGTGACCCCCACCTGGAGGGCCCTCTTCCACGCCGTCCACATGGCAGACCCCCTCCCCCTTCGTGACCCTCTCGCAGGGGAGGCAGGCTTCCTCCTCTGAAAATCCACTGCCCAGCAAGGCAATTCTGTCTGTCTGTTCACCTCCACCAACAGACTATGAAGTATCCCTCATCTTGTTCATCTGTCTTCCCTGTGCCTGGTCTTCGTTCATTTCATCCGATCTTTATGGGTACCTACGGCACTGGGCCCTGGGAATACACGGGTGAGCAAAACAACATAACCCCTGGCTCACCGAGCACGCAATCAGCTGGGGGAGACAGACCTTAGCGAATTACACCGATAAACATACAACTTAACACTGTGAGATGTGTGGGCAGAGAGGAGCTCTGGGCGCCATGGAGAGCTTCTAACTGGGGCCTGATGAGTCTGGGCAATCCCTGAGGGCTTCCGTGAGGTAGAGACACCTAAGGGATTGCTGAAGGGTGAGGAGAAGTTTTCCAGGTGAAGGACAACGCTCAAGAAATATTTGATGAGCAAATGAATAAAGTTGCTTAGCACATCTTCTGGTGCTAGTGTACGGAAGGCCTCGGCATAAATTTTGAGTGAGGCAGAGACTTGAATTCAAGTGGCCAACCTCTCCTGAACCCAAAAAGACAGCTTCACAAATCCTCACGATCGCCAGCTCCAGAACCAGGTGGGAGGCCACCAAGACAGCCTCCTGGGCCTCGCCAAGCTAAGAGAGAGGGCATCTGCTCCCCTCACTCCAGTCCCCCAGTTCCACAGCAGAGCTCTGCTCAGACTGTCTAAGAAAATCTCTGAGCCAGGGTTTAAGCCATCCACGGTCCCCTTCACTCCTGCAAAGCTCTGAACCTTTGGTGGCTGCTGAAGCTACAAACCAGCAATGAAGAAGGTGACGAAGTTGTCCAGCAGGATCTCGTCGTCCTGGGCCCCCTCTTCAGCTGAAAGACAAGGCGAGTCTCAGAGCCCCAGGAGTAGATGCCGCCTGGGACACTAAGAATCCTGGTCTCCTCCCCACTCCCCGCCCCCCTAGAGCCAGACAGAACCAGCTGGAGTCAACTGATGGGGGGCACCCCCGCTGCCTGGCCCTCCCAAGGCCCTCGAGGGAGCCCTGGCACCTTTGAGAATCTGTGTGAGGATGTCAGCAGGCACGTCCTCCCCCCTCTGCAGGGCCTCCCGGCGGCGCTGGACCCAGTCCTTGCCAACCTGACGCAGGAAACGCACGCTCTCCCGGACCTCGCGAAGCTGCTTCCACTTCCCCGGCATAAACTAAATGAGAGTTCCAGCTCAGCGTGGTGGACTGGACACACAGTTTCCCTCTCCCCTGTCCCCCCAACTCCAAAATGACTTCAGAAATCCACAGCGGCACCGGCAAGCTGGGAGAGTGGAAGAATGTGAGAACATTCTAGAAAAGATCAAGTAGCCAGGAGACTTTATCAGAATGGTGGGCTATGGGGAATTCTCTGGCGGTCCAGTGGTTAGGGCACTTTCACTGCCGGGGCCCCGGGTTCGATCCCTGGTCTGGCAACTAAGATGCCGCAAGCCATGTGGCCTAAGCCCAAGCACTGGCTTCCCCTTCCTGCCCCAAATCCCTAGAAATGATGGGAAAGATGCCTTAAAATACCCACAGAGCACTGGAAAATAAGAAGGGATTCCTGAAGGATGGAGGCAATTAGGAATAAGAAGGGATTCCTGAAGGATGGAGGCAATTAGGGTCGCATCGAAGGAGGAAACTTCAGCCAGAGGGAAGTAGAGGGAAATTAACTGCTGAAAAGGTGCGGTGGCATCAGGGGACTCTAAGCTCAGAGTCTGAAGTCCCAGGGTACAGAAGGGGGCCCTGAGCATCTGTCTGGGAATCAACTCAAGTACTGTAGCCGAGCAGGACTCTATGGGGTCTTCCCAGAACAGACCACCCCCACCCCCATGCCCTCCGCCTGCCTCTTGTCTATAGAGAAACCTTAGCCTCCTAGGCCTTCCCCGAGTTCCAAAGAGTGAATTTAATCAGAGAAGGGGTAAAATGCAGAAAGAAAGGAAAACAGTCCAGCAATACAAAATAATAGTTTAACTATTAAACAAAGTCAAGAATCTTTAGTTCCTCCTCAAGGGCTATAGAGAATATTCTGAGCCATGTCCTTTGAGCTGTTTTCCAGATACTGAAGCCACCACCAGGTGGGAGAAGTTAACTGCATGCTGCGCACCTGCACGTAGACCCCAGACTGGTTGGAACCAGAAGGTTGATGATGTTGACTCCCGATGACCTCACCACCAAGTAATCAGAAGAGTGTCCACAAGCTAATCACATACCCACACCCTCCCTCCACCCCAAACACACACCCCCGTCTTTAAAAACCTTTCCCCAAAAGCCTTCAGGGAGTTTGGGCCTTTTAAGCCCTAGCTGCCTAGGCTCCTTGCTTGGGGCCCTGCAATAAATGTTGCACTTTCCCTCACCACAACCCAGTATCAATATATTGGCTTTACTGCACGTGGGCAAGCAGACCCAAGTTCGGTTTGGTAACAGTGCCACCTTTCCCCCTTCTTCTTCCTTCATGCCTGGAACAAGGAGGCGATAGCTGGATCTGCAGCAGCCATCTTATAACAATGAGGTGATGTGCTAGAGACAGTGGAACAGAAAGACAGAAAAATCCAGGAACATCTGACATTGTGGGGTCATCATTGCCATCCTGCTTCAGGATCATTTCACATGAGAGAAAGATTTACTCCTAATTTACTTAAACCACTTCTATTTTCAGCCTCTACTTTAGGGGATGTATGCAAATCCTAACTGATTTGCAAGTCACTTCAGACATATCAGAGCTCAAAACCCATTCTGAAAACAATCACAGGAGGAAGTTCTCCAGCAAATGAGGACAAGACAAGCTACGATGGCAGGTACCTTTGCCAGAGTGTTTCGGGATGCACTGATGCCCTCCAGGATCAGTTTCACTTTCCGGGACAGAGGCTTCTGGGCACCCAGCAGCATGCTGGTCTCCATCCCAAAAGCTGCCTGGGGGAGAGAGAAGGGCAAGGTCATACGTGGGTGATGGGAGGACTGAAGACCCAGGACAGAGCCTGAGCTAAGGGTTGTGTGCATCATGTCATCGACTCCTTACAACAACCCATGATAATCCCGAACGTGTGGGATGTGGTAGGATTAAGTGGCACATAGCAGCCACTCAACAAACCTTGGCTTCCTTCCTTGACAAGATGCATTTCCCCTGAAATGCAGCCTCCCTTGTGTGCCTGTTTCACACCCAGTTTCCCAGTGAATTGTTGAATGGTGACGACTTCACTCACTGTGCCTGAACTCCATCCTTAACCTGGATTGGGGGTTACCTGGGCCACTGCTGAGACAGCCAGGGTGAAAAGTCAAGCAATACCCCATGGGGGCTGCTGAGGGGGAGGTAGGCTTGGGCTGGGAGTCAGGCAGACCTGAGATCCAGTCCTAGTCCTGCCACTGACCAGCCAAAGGCCTGTCTCCACATCTCTTTGTGTCCATTTCTAGAGAATGAGTTAGGTAGCTCCAACCTCACACTGTTGTTTTAAAAGTTCGAGGAGATAAAACAGATGACCCTCCCAGCCCAGAGAAGGGGCAGCTTGTATGTGGAGAAGTGGGGAGAGGGGAGGGAAGCAAGCAGGGAAGAGGGAGGGAAGAAGTGCCCTCTGCCCGTGTGGCCCTCCCCACGCCCCACTCCGCCATCCTCCCATCACCTTGGCCAGGATGTCCATGGTGGTGCAGGTCAGCATATCCTGCATGGACACCGGAGTCTGCCCATCCGCCTTGGCTTCCAGAATCTCCACCAGTTGCTCCGCTTTCTCATTGAATGTTTCCATCAAGCTAACCAAGGAGCTGAGGAAACAGCACAGACATCAGCGGCCACTGGGACCAGCCCGGGGCTGCGGACATCCTGTGCCCCCCTTTCTGAAGGGAGACCAGTGTGCAGAGTGGAGGTGGGGGCCCCTCCCAGCCTTTCTGGTCTCCCCTTAAGACCCAGCTCACAGGATGGGGCTGCAGTAATCAAACTAAGCCTTGGATTTCATCAGCCCCCTCCATTCAGGATGGCCACTGTCCCTTTACCCTTAGTTTTAATGGTTTCATGGGTCCTCTGTTTGCCACTTGGCCCTTCAACTCTGACCCCAACGAGACATGGCAATGTAGAAACTCCAGAAGACAGTGGGAAGGAAGGAAGAAAGGCCTCTGGGGCCTCTTAGAGTCTATGAAGTTTCCCCTCCAACCTCTTGGTTGCACTGCCCACTCTCCTTACCTGCCCTGCCTGGGGCCACCATCTGCAGCCTTTTGTTATCCCATTTCACTCCCTGTCCTTGAGCAATCATAGCGCCCAGCCCTACACAGAAGTGAGTCCTCTGACCCAGAGCTCCCAACCCACAGTGCCCCTGTCCCGGCACAGCTACCTGGCTTGTCTGTCTGGCATACAGCTTAGAAAGAGGTATGGAAGGATGTGCTCCAAACTCCCAAAAATGGTATCCCTGAGGGAGTGGAAAGGGGGGAACTTATCCCTTTGTACATTATATATTTCTGAATTTTTACAAAGAGAAAGTGCTGCTTTTGAAATTAAAAGTCGTTTTTAATGTTAGCAATCTGGGTAAAGGGTATAAGGGTGTTTTTTTCTCCTATTCTTATTCTTGAAACTTATCGAGAAATTTGAAATTATTTCCAAATAAGAGGTTTTAAAAAACAGTAAAGAGAGCAAATTGGGGAAGAGAAAAAAAAAAAGAATAACTTTTTTAATTAGGAAAGACTATCCACTCTTCGTTGCCGATCAGCCAGCCCTGCTCTGTTCCCAGCTCTAGCACAGGCCCCAGCATCTGTCTGGTCGCTGCTGCTCCCACCCCATGCTGGCCGCATGTCTTGTTCTCTGTGGCCCAGGCATATAATGAAAGCACCACTCGAATCTGGTCCCTTGCCCACCTAAAGTGCTTTGAAGCACCCTGTTGTGAGGGAGGGTAAATCCTCACCTGGGCCCAGGAGGCTGTCTGCTCTCGTTCATTCCTGCCTGCAGCACTGCTTTCCTGTTACAATGACCTGTTATCTTCTCCAAAGCCCAATGCTCCTTCCCTTCTCAGGGCCTTTGCCCATGTTGTCCCCTCTGCCTGAGCTGTCTCCCCTCCCACCCTCCATCCCTATGCCTCATAACACCTTAACATCTGCCCTCTCTCCAGGTGGACACCCAAATGCCACATCCTCAGGGAAATGTCTCTTAAGCCTAAGTAGTCCCAATACATGCTCCCATAGTACCCTGGACTTCTTTTTCATAACACTTACATGGTTTGCAAGTATATATTTATTTGCAAGATTCTTTGTAGTTGTCTTTTTTTAAAAAAAAAATCACATTCAAATTGACTATTTGGATCCCATGCGCTGGTTACCACACCAGTACTGAATCCCTTGCAGCTACTGCAGATACAAAATAATCGGACTGGGGCTTCCTGGTGGCGCAGTGGTTGAGAGTCTGCCTGCAGATGCAGGGGACGTGGGTTCGTGCCCCAGTCTGGGAGGATCCCACACGCCGCAGAGCGGCTGGGCCCGTGAGCCATGGCCGCTGAGCCTGCGCGTCTGGAGCCTGTGCACTGCAGCGGGAGAGGCCACAGCAGTGAGAGGCCCGTGTACCGAAAAAAATACATATGTCGGACTGGAATGTTAGTGGTACAGTAAAATCCCAACCCCTTGTCTTTTGTTTTTGGTTTTTTTTTTTTTTTTTTTTTTTTTTT